AAACACTGCACTTTTTCACACTGTCCTGCATTCATGTACGCAATAATATCATGTACCGCTCAGCATTCACTTCCACAATTTTTCAGTAAGAAGAAGCAGGTCTCATAACGTACACTCGCAGAGCGTTGAGGGATTTCCAGTGTCTACCAAATTACCAAATGCTGTAATCATGTTCTGCTACATCAGATTAGTGGTTAACCTTGGATTTCGACCTCTCTTAAGGAATCTGACCAAGACACGGCCAGACCCCACCTTTAGCTTCATATCAAATTATGCGTCAGCCTTGCCGAGTTAAAAGCTGTGAATTCAGCCTAAAGCACAACAAGCCTATGCACTTTCATTTTAGGCATGACCCACTAAACACGGCAAATTCTTACTTAAATCTTATTCTCCACTTTCAACCACTTAATAGGTAGATGTACGGTCAAAGGAGGAAAACAATAAGGTGGACTAATGTTTTATGAACTATGAAATAAACGTTGCCAAAGTATCAAATATAGGGATGCACCAATGCGGGAAATCAGCTGACGCTGCCATTTTTCGACCACATATCTGCTGATACAGCAGTCAATGCTAATACATCCCTGCTGTCGGGACAAAACCTTGTATCTCCATTTTTGTATCCATTCTTGTATCTCATAATTTGAAAAAGGCAATTGTCCCTTACGATGGGTCAAAATCTAACAGAAACGGTCCAAAATTACTTTCTCCATTTATTTCCATTAAACGTTAAGAACGCTGTTCCTTGTCATGTAAAGTTACCTTTTTATATACAAATATATGTGTGTGTGTGTGTGTGTGTGTGTGTGTGTGTGTTCATTAACTGTAGAAACTGGGACTTTATCTACTCTGATAAACATTATACAGAGATTTATTTGTGGTGTTTTACAAATGCAGTAAAATGAATAAAAATGCAGTAAGCACAGTAATTCTGCAACACCTAAACATTCCTGTCTTCCAGAACACCATAAATGCATCATCACATCAGTTTGATTCATCATTCAAATCTAAAAATATCTAAATATTTTTAAAGCAAATGTCTGCTGAAACTAATATGACTGCAATATCACTGTGCAACCATAATCAAATACTAACATTTTTGAAAGCAACTTCAAAAATTTCAAGCTGAAAATTATAGAGACTGTTTTGAAAGTTAGGATTCAGAGCTATTAATTCTAAACATACTAACACGCTCAGTCCAAGAGTCCATCTGCTTCAGATTCAGTGAAGTAGTAGCTGGGGTATTGTGCAGTCTGTTCAGTGGCATCAATCCCAGATGGCATTTTGGCTGATTCTCTTATGAACACCACCTCCAAAAGCTGTTGTGGGGTGGGAGAAACTTCACTGGACTGAGGTATGGCTAACCCAGCGGAAAATGCATTAAATAACCCAATTGGTTAAAGTTGTTACATTAGCTCAAAAGACAGCATTAAGGATCAGCCATTTGCACAAAAAATAAATCAGAGCATTTTACCTAAAGAAAAAAACTTGTTTCTTTTGATTATTGCATATAAATATTTCTTATTGAAATGTGTTTAAATGGGTGACAGTGTGAAAGGAACTGGTCAAAATAGAAATATCACTGCTGTCGGAAGAAAACCTTGTATCTCCATTTTTGTAGTTTTTTTAGTTTTTGACATAATTTGAAAATACCTGTTACCCTTTACATTGTCTGTGAATTTCATGAAGAATGGACCAAAAGAAACGACCCAAAAAGACTTGGAAAAATGTCTGGTTCCATTGACTTACATTAAAAGTAAAGTGGGTTTTTTCCTTCTCCTGTAAAGTTACCATTTTGAAGGTATGAGGTTTTCTTCTGACAGCAGCGATATCATGACAGAACATCTTCACAGTGGCAGATAAGCTACACAACAGGAAACCTAAGTAGTTCTTTTCACTTCCAGTTTGGACCACATTTATTGGAGACACTAGGCCTGTCACAATTATTATGTAATTAGGCTGATTGCGATTACTTGAGATGTATTTCAAAAAGCTACTAACTTTCACAATCACATTTCACATTCTCCCTATTGTGATGTTATCTGGTGTGTTTTCATCTGTAAGGTTGAGACATTTCACGGGTCTTACGAAAACAACAAAAGTTCTGAGCGGTTTCTGTGGTCAGTTGGGAAGCACTAAGTATCAACACTAGAAAGCAAGACAGCTCATCAGTGAATTGGGCCACTTTAGGCTTGTATATTAATAGTTATGGAGGCACAAATGATATCTGAATCATACTGAGTGTGTTTACATGGACTTAATAATCTGCTAACTGCATAAAATCAACACGTTAACATGCACTTGAGTAATCAGATAATGGGGAAACTTCAGGTCTACATGAGTCAGACAGTAATCAGATTTCTGCTGTGCAACAAGCCAATAAACTCACAGAAGAAGATGTGACATCGTTGCTTGCTTATTTCCGGTACCGCCGTCTGTTCTCGCACATGCACAGACTGAGAAATCCGAAAGAAATCAGAGTAAGAGTTCACATGCACCTAGAAATCTGATTACTGAGCTAAAATCCAGCTCTCTCGGATTTCTAGATTGGAGCACTGTATTTACACGACCATTTGAATAATAGGATAACTGCAGAAATCCGATTATGATCGGATTACTGAGTGCATGTAAACGCACTCGTTGTTGGAAGACATTCGCTTAAAAATACTGTAATCAGACATGTTTAGTTTTGATCGACGTTAAAAATATCTGATTGATAGTTTCATAAAATAAACAAAGAATTAAACAGTTAAAGCATTTTTATATAGTAATTAATCACCAGCTGAAATTTTAGCATCTTGACAGGCCTTGGAAACACAAATAGTTCAAGCAATAGAGTGCCTGAACACAAATATCTGATTAGGAATAGCAGAAATAATAGTAAATCCGATTTAAGCATTACAGCCTGCGGCAGTCTTAGAAAGCTACAGACAACTACAATCAACCACAACAGCATCCTGTTTTTCCTGCTACAGATGCATCACACTGAACGGAGGACCTCAGTGGATTAACAAACGATTTTACACATGCCTGGCTGCCAGCTGGATGAGCCAGTGAAGGCTTTTTGGATGGCGCACAATACATTATACACATTGCCAAGACTCGGTCACTACAACCTCCTCTTGCACTCTTTTTCCTCAGTCTTTCACGCCCACCACCGTCACACTCAGCAAGCCATGAGACGGCCATGAAAGCCTAACAGAGCGACTTACATTAATCAATTAGTCAAAGCTGGCTTGCATTTGGAGCCTCGAAAGAGAACACAGGGTGCCACAACAGAAGCTCATTTTCGCCCCCTTTCCTCAATATCCCTGATGTTCCGGTCCATCGTTTCACAAAACGCAAAGACAGTTTTATAGTCTGTGTAATTAGAGAGGGTGAAATGGAGCCCTTTTCTCAGCTTTAGATCTGATGTGGAGGGCCTGCTGAGGCGTCAGTTGGTCATGGAGGTGGATGGCTACCTAAACTTGGTGGAGTGTTTGCACACTTCTGCCAACAATGAAAAATTTTCCGACACGATGGAGACGCTGACTGGCCAAACTGGCCTGTAATCAGATCCTCTGCGTTTTGGGTTCTTGGAGAGATGGTGCAAACGCATACCCAGAGGCCCAGCCACCACTGGGCCGAGCAGTGCAGCTGTCGCTGTACGTCTGGCAGCAGGCGGCCTTCCACAATGGGTCTGGGATAACAATAATAAATCTGGAAAACCTCTGGTGGGCCAGAAAAGCACACTGAAAGAACGCAGAGCTTGGGGGGGAACTGGAAAAGATGCATCCGAAACAATTTGACAGTGCTAGATAAAAGCTGCCTCTCGGGCTTCTCATTTGTTATTACCTATGGCAAAGTAGCACAGCTCCTTACAGAAACCCCAGTGAGGAAGCAAACTGTTGGTCTTACGCTTGTAGTTACGAACGGCCACCAACATTGGTCTTTCTGATACGACGCAGGCATGTCTGAATGATATGCAACAGACAAGCCATCTTCTCCAGATGTAGAAATGAAAGCAGGGATCACTTGACCGTCAGTGGTCCACCACGGTCATATCACAATCACAGTCCAGCAGTGAATAAATGATTAAGTTAGACACTTTCAATTACAGTCTACACACTTAAAAAGGAAGGTTCTTCAATGGTTCAGCTCTATACAGAACCATTTCATGCCTGCATAATGAAATGGTTCTTTAGGTTGATGAAGAATGCGTTGTATATGGTCCTACATAGAAAATGGTTCTATACAGCACCAAAGTAGGTTCTTCTGTTACAAGCTTGACATTGTAACCATAGCAGAACCCCTTTGGGGGGGTTCCACGGTTCTAGATAGATACTCTAAATACTCATGGTTCTATCTAGAACCATGTTTGTAAGTGTATACCTCAAACAGAGATGATTAGGATGATAATTCAAGCATCACTCCTACCTAAAGTCGGTCTGTTATGGCTGAAGTAAACGATTCGGTGATAAACCAGAAGAAATAACGTTAATCTAGCCTGCAAAATGATATAAACTCGAGGCCTAGATAACTTAGTCGAGCTGTAAATTAACGCCAGACACTTTAAAATAAATAGACAGTACTTAATGAGTAAATATTACCTCAGATAACGTTATAAATCAGAGCACTTAAGATATTTATCGGTGTTTTTTATTCGAACCGCGCGCTTCGATTTGAAGTAACGTTCCTGCCAACGCTGTCAATCTCGGCAACGTCTGTTCAACACAACTTTGACCCCCCCACCCCGGAGAAAGCTACGAAAGCCTACTTAATTTCCCATTTTGACGAGGATAAAACCAGAAAGAACTCCTAACGGGGGTCCTGACTAACTTCCTGCGGCTTTCGTGTAGCTCGGGCTGCTACGCACGCGAGCAGCCGTTGGACACAAGTAACGTTAACGTTAGCCAACAGTTCTTATGAACCGCTTACTCTTTTCGGAGCCGTCTGGTCGTCTTTGTGACCAAGGAGTAACTTTAAAAACTTTTAAAGAAGCTCCAGCCGTAGAGACTTACCCGTATTTCTTCCCCAAATGTGGCTCTGTCACAGATTTTTTCCACTGCTGCTGCGTCTCCGCTCCACCTTCTCCTGTAGCCACAGCGCTCCACCAATTTCTACAGATCCGGGCTCGGTCCCAATTGCACGGCACCCTCCCTCACTCCCTCTAGGCACTAACTAGGGAAGCCTCTCCTGAAAGGGTGCCGAGTGTGCAGAATGCAAGCTGAGAACTTTATATTAAACTATAGGTTTAATCAATGCAGTACAGTAACAACGTTCAACCGTGTGTTCTTCGAGATCGAAGCTCGTCTCCCTCGCAGCATGGGTTTTCCCGAACGGCGATGGCAAGGGAACTTGGAAGTTTTGTGATTCGGGATCGAGCCGAAGGCGTGAACACGCTAGCGCTGTACGTCACGCGTGATAGGGCCGAGGCGCGGTCAGTTTTTCAAAATAATAGCGTTCACGGCCCACGAAATGTGGTAAAGCCCGAATCCCAAATGGATCCCAGTTGAACTTATAGTGCAGTTTTTGGGCGTAGAAGCCATTATTTCACAACACTGTAGTGTAGCTGTGAACGGAGCCATGTGGGATCCAGCCAGACACTTCTATATACAGGGTGTCCCAAAAAAATTGACATAATTTGAGATGAGAATATCTGAGTAACTACATGTTCTGGGCAAACGAAATTAAATAGGCTTCATGTTGAACAATACCAGATTTATTTATCAAGAGAAATAAAACAAGAAATTCAGAGGGATGTAGATTTTATAACCGATTTCACAGCTTCACAAATGTAATATCTTCCAGTACTGGTGGTCGTCCAGATCCCTTTGTCCTGCACAGGCAGCCTTCCTCTTTGAATTTTTTGTGCCATGTCCAAATCTGCTTTCCAGTTGGTGCATTATTATTGAATTTTCTCGATAATGCAGGCTGCTCACTCTTCTTTGACTGTGTTCGAGCATATTCTAACACACAAAATGCCTTTTCATTTCTAGTGAACGCCAGTCTTCAATCTGAAAAAACATTGAAAAATTAAACTTGGTTAGTTTTTACACGTTTTGTTAAAATTTGAGATTATTTGAGGGAGAATTGGCTATGTTATTGATTATGTAAATTTTTTTTGTGTGTGTGTATATGTAGCTGTATAAAATAATGATGGCACAGTATTGTTATGTATTATTGATGATGGTTCATAAAAACATTACTTTTTATCATTTATTTTTTCTTATTTATTTATTTATTTTATTGTATTTTATTGTGTTTTTTTTGTTTTGCTCCTGTCAATTTCCCCATTTTGAGTAGTAGTGATGTGTGTCATCATCATGTGTGTTATAAAAGTTTTACACAAAAATGAGAAGTCTTCCAAAAAATGAAAAAAAAACAAAACAAAACACATTGACCTACAACTGTATGCTATGTATTAGCTTGCAATAACGCTTTATTTAATTCTCTCAATTTCCCATAGCTGTCACAATCTTTTGATCAAAACATGCCATTAAGGTAAGAGCGTGGATTTAAACAGGTCTGAAAAATGAACAATTCTACTCTATACAGGCCAAATCTATGAGTACAATAGTTTCCAGCAGTGATGCGTTAGGAAACAGGGAAGCAGAGGGTTTACAAGACAGACAGTGGCATCTAGTGGCCATAGAAGGTAATGACAATTTCTAACATAATTTCTGTTAAACAAGTAAAACTAAGACCATTAAAAAAAATAATAATTCAGAACAATATTTGTGCGGTCAAAAATACACAGCATTATCTAGGAGACAAAATCACATAAATACTAGTCTAGCACGTTTTTTATTTCTGTGGCTTTTAAGATTTGTGATTATGAATTGCGAGTAACATCAATATTAAAATCTTTCTTGGAGGGTTACATTCACTGCTGGGTTTCCCCCCCCAATGACACTTCAAGTTAAATAATTATGAGATACATGAAATTACAACTTTGTACTCCTGTGATAAATGTAAACTTTGTAGTTATGATATGATCCACCAGATGGCAGCATGTGTCAGTCTTCCTCTGAGGCTGGAGTCCTTCAAGGCTGTCCTTCAAGCAGGGCCACTGCTGCAGTACAATAACACAGCATGTTAGCTTAGCTTCTTACAGTACACTACACAGCATTCAGACATTGCTTTACGAAGGAACGGGGTTAGATGTGACCTAAAGGGCCCATATCCTACAATTTTCTTCACTTTATTTTTTCTCATGAGGTTCACTTATAATGTTTATGTGGTCGATGTATCAAAAATGGCTGTCATTCAACTTTACATGATCACTTTCCATCCTCTCTTTATTCATTAGAATAAAGCTGTTTTAGTTACAACATCATAAAGACTGATAAACGTATATAAGCTCTCTTCTGACTGTCTGCCCTGCACTGTGTCTCATTCAAAAAGCAGTCCAGGCTGAAACACTCCTTATAACTTCAGTGTGAATAGGATGAGCTGAACTGATAGAGGCTGAAACGTAAATTAGTTGGTTATTGTGACGTTACAAAAACAATGAGTGTGTTTCCATGCACTAATCTGATAACTGCAGAAAATCAGAGTTTGTCAGTAATCCCATCAACACGTTTACATGCACTTAATAATCTGATAACTGCAGAAAATCAGATTTTGTCAGTAATCCGATCGTGTTTACATGCACTTAATAATCCCATAACTGCAGAAAATCAGATTTTGTCAGTAATCCGATCGTGTTTACATGCATTTAATAATCCCATAACTGCAGAAAATCAGATTTTGTCAGCAATCCCATCAACGCGTTTACATGCACTTAATAATCCGATAACTGCAGAAAATCGATGCTGTCAGTAATCCAATCAACACATTTGCATGCACTTAATAATCCGATAACTGAGAAAATCAGATTTTGTCAGGAGTCCGATCAACGCGTTTAGATTCACTTGAGTAATCAGATAATGGAGAAAGGGTTTACATGAGTCAGACAGCAATCAGATTTCTGCTGACTAGCCAATAAACTCAACGTGACGTAAACGTAACGTAAAACTCAAACTTCCTGCCGCGGCTATTTTTATAAAATATCGCTCCACTTTACCTGAAAATATGATCATAAATCATCTAGAAAATAAGAATATTTAAATAAGAGTATTTAAATCCTTTATTCTGTGTTTGGTTTCAGCTCCACTCCAAAGGTGTTTTGCTGCATCTCACGGCGACGCTGCTTGTTTAGTTCTGGTACCGCCATCTGTTCTCGCGCATGCACAGACTCAGAAATCAGACTAAGAGTTTACATACACTGAGAAATCTAATTACTGAGCTAAAATCCAGCTCTCTTTATTGGATTTCATAATCGGATTTCTAGATTGGAGTATGGTGTTTGCATGACCATTTGAATAATTGGATAACTGTGATGTAAACGCACTCAATGAATTTAAAACGAGCTGCTTTTGCAGTGTGGTTTGCGTATTTTGACCATTTGGACCAAAATGTATATCTTAAAACTTTAACAATGTTTACATACTGGATCAAACTCAGGGAAAATGGAAGGGACAATGTTTTTTTTCCAAGATACGGGACCTTCAAAGCAAGGAACTGAATTAATAGAACATAGACAATTATATGAATATAATACAGTACATACTACTGTTCAAAAGCTATCCAAAAAAATGGAGAAGGCAAAAAGGTTCTTTCCTTTTGTTCACACACTGTGTTCAAATGATTTAAAAAATAACAAACAGAAAAAGTAGAGATGCGGTGATGATATGCTGGTCCTGTGCAAATTCATATGTTTCAAATAATTAGTATGAAGCTGCAAAATAAAAAAAACAGTAAGTGTCCAGAATAATGAGCAGAGCTGTAGATGATACTGCAGTGACAGAGGGAGCTGCATGGGACCCAGAATGAAGCTATACCAAAATGAATATGTAGAACGGTCATCAAATCTTGAGGCAGATAAATAGACAAAAATACTGTAAATAGATATTTACAGTTTCTCATTTATCATTTAACTTCTCTGTGTTTCCAAAATACTTTAAATACTGAATAAACCATCTTAAGAACACCTTTTAGTGTTGCAATGTGTGTTCAGTATTTATCTATTCACAATATAATATTGAGGTTATTATTATATTTGAACTAACAAAATGTGAGTGTTTATGTGGTGGGATGTGCGCAGTGGTGGTCTTACTTGGTGTGCTCCTATGGGATCTCTGAGACACTCGAAGCCCCTCCTCACTCAGTTTAGGCACTGGTGGCCTTACTGGACCTGGCCGTATCCCAGCATTCCATTGGCTTGAACCGAGCCTCTTTTCCGGGTCTTTACTGGCCGAGAGAGACGCTAAACTTTGCGTCGCCCACTGCGGCCGGCTCTGTCTTCTCTTAGCGTCTGCCCCACGGTCCAGTGATAAGAACATCTGAAAACAGACACACAGCATGGTTTCATACTGAACTGACCGTCTACGTTTCTCACTATGCTGATGTGTTAAAGGAATGCTCCGATGTTGCTCCAACCTGATCTACATCTGCCACATCTGTAGCATACCTTGCTGACCACATACAACAATGTCTATGCATTTCCCTGTGTTGAAAGAACGTTGAAAAAAAAAGTGTTTAACGACGGAAAAGCTAATTGGCCAGTCTGCCCATTAAAGGGCCCATATCATGGAAAACAATCCATATGGTCTATACACCGATCAGGCATAACATTAAAACCACCTTCTTGTTTCTACACTCACTGTCTACTTTATCAGCTCTACTTAGCATATAGGAGCAATTTGTAGTTCTACAGTAACAGACTGTAGTCCATCTGTTTCTCTGCATACTTTGTTACCCTGTTCTTCAATGGTCAGGACCCCACAGGACCCCCACAGAGCAGGTACTATTTGGGTGGTGGATTATTCTCAGCACTGCAGTAACACTGACATGGCGGTGGTGTGTTAGTGTGTGTTGTGCTTGTACAAGTGTCTTAGCCACTTGTACCAGTGCAACATGCTGCCACCATGCCAGTGTCATATAGTAAGTGGAGCTGATAAAATGGACAATGAGTGTAGAAACAAGGAGGTGGTCATAATGTTATGGCTGATTTGTGTCTATGGAAACGAAACTGCAAAAACAGTTCGTTTTAAATCTGTTATGTGATGTCACAAAATCCCACACATTTAAATATCCACCTACATCAGTTTAGCTCTGTCCATTCACACTAAAGTTAAATGACTAAATGACTCCAACACTAAATGACTGTTTCAGCACTGGACTGCTTTTTGAATGAGACACAATACAGGGCAGCCGATCAGAACAGAGGCAATTTATATATCAGTTTTAAAGGTACAGTAACAAAAACTGCCTGTTTAAATCTAAAGGATTGAGAGAGGTGGGAAAATAGTGGGAAAAAATGTATTTTGACTTTTCTTTGGTACATAAAACCTCAAATTTTATAAGCAGTGCTATAAATGGAAAAAATAAAGTACAAGAGAAATGTCAGATATGGGCCATTTAAAGCCCATTTTGCTCCTTGTTGTGAGCCAGCAGTGTGCCGCGGGTCGCATCTAGCAGGAAATGACAAGAGTTGCTTTGCTTCTGGTGTAAAACCAGCTTCATACTACAGCAAAATCACTTCGTTTGTGAATGGATATAATTTTATGAATGACTATAGTGTGTTTAATACTGATTATGATCCAGTTTGATTGACCTTCAAAATGCTAATGTTTTAGGAGAAGGCAACAATGTTGATCATTTTTAATGCATTATTATTACAAGATTTTATCTCAAGCATTTTTGGACCATTTCTTTTGGTCCGTTCATCATCATATATTCACATATTGTAAGGTCAGCTGCGGTACTCAAATGATGTAAAAAAACAAAAAAACAAAAACAAATATTGGAATAAATGGAGATGGGTTTGATATGACAAAGACTATATATGAAATTACCATTTACTTGCCCAATGAAATGGGACCCTCAAATAAAAAAATATATATAATAAAAATAAAAAAAACATTACTTCATTAACAGCTACTAGCGCTGCTCTGTAGGCGACCCGGTCCGTCTTCAGTGATAGCAGAGGAGGGTAAAGTTCAGCTCCTCACTGCTGGGCTTTAGTTACATTTAGGGCACCATATGCCTTCAAAGAGGGGGGCAATTATTTATTATCGCCCACCACTAATCCTTTGGTGGTATGAAGCTGAAGTCAGATATTCACCAGCTTCTTGTTCGAATTTTCCCGTTCCACCTTAAATGGTGCAGCAGTTACATTCTGGCACTTCAGGCGTCAGAACTGCTGGACTATTTAAGGTGGAACGGGAAAGTTAGCTAGCTAGCTACTGAGACATTAGCGTACTATTAGCGATTTTTTATGCTTATTATGAAGAAAACAACCATAAAACAATGAAACGACATTAAACTAAGATAATACAGTGGTTATCGTAATTTTTAACTGAGAAAATTTTCACATTCGTGGGTTTCTTTGGTCGCTCGCGCAGCCATCTTGCCGGTTTTTCTTTTTTCTCTCATAACACTCTGTTTGGAGTCTCTGAAAAACCTCAGTTTGGAGGGCCATGTAGCCCTGACACTTCACCCAACCCCTCTATCTCAACAAAAATCGAGACACCCTACCCCTAGACATGAACATGCAAAACAGAGGGCTGAGGGCTAAGTGGTAGGGGTGAGGGGTGAAATGGGATTGGGCCTTGAAGCGTAATAGCCACACTCCAACTGACAGCTGGTTTAAACATAGTCAAAAAGCAGAAATGCAGATATTACAAGTTTCATTTCCTCTTTAATAAAGATCCACACTGCAGATATTTAAAGAGTTCATCCTTTTAAAAGGTGCTGCACTGCTGCAGCTTGTGGATAATGTCAGTTTATGGCATCTCTACATCAACAGAACATAAAAACAAAGTGCACTGAGCTTATTAGAGCTGATACCTGATGAATTAAAACATGCCTGGACATGGAAAATCATAACAGATAGAGATTAAGGTGGAAAATGCTGGAATATTCCTTTAAGATGCGTTTCGTGCCCCAGTCTCTTTCACTCAAAGGATTTTTTTATAGTGTGCACTCTCCCACAGTGCACCACATTAGCATTACTTCCCATGTTAAGTGATCAGTATGCATAATGCCTCTTAGATATGTAGTCTCTGAAGACTTCTTTGCACTCTTTTCTCCTTTGATTTGAGCAGGAGTCAGTGGAACAGTCACACGATGATTGCAAGAGCTTACCAAAGATTTGGCTTTGCGCAGCCGGTACGACGAGGCAGACAGGGCTTTCTTCTTTGTGTTCTCTTGCGTTGTTGTGTTGGGATTAGCTCTTCTGCTTCTTGCTTGTCTGCAAAGATAACAAGGACACGTTCACTGCAGTTCACACTAAATACACACCTAAAAACACACACGCGCATGCACCGTGCTTGTATAACAAGAGCTGCTTTGACCTGATACCACAATAATAGAGACAGCGGAGGAACCAGAAGGCAGAGTTATGGAATAATTGAAATTTAAGGGGAGGATCATGCTTGAAACCCCTTCTCCTTCCATTCTAACATTCTCATCTCTACCTTCCATTTCCTGTGACAATTCTTTTTTCTTTCTCTCACCACCACCCTATCTCTTCCATATTCCTCAGTTTTATGGCAGTCCTACTACTGTCCAAACAGGTCGTCCGGCCTTCTGTCTCCAAGCAGAAGCCGCCCAGAACTCCAACCCCAGTCCTCTGAGTTCTCTCCCCTCGTTCAAACACACAGTCTGCCCTCATACTATCACCACATGTTGAGGGCACAGTCCAAGCTCGCAAATTAGAGAAAAAAAAAGGTGGTACAACCCCATTTCCAAAAAAGTTGGAACACTGTGCAGAATGTAAATACAAATAGGATGCAATGATGTGCAAATCATGTAAACCATATTTTTGAAGGAAAATACTACAAAGACAACAAAGCAAATGTTGAAACTAAAAAATGAAAAATATATGACCAATTTGAATTTAATGCCAACAACACGTTCCAAAAAGTTGGGACGGGGGCATTTTTACCACTGTGTTTCGTCACCTCTTCTTTAAACAAAGCAAAAGTTCTTTGTTATTTTACGGTTTTCTTGAATTGTTGCACTATTTGCTCGTGCAGTTTTTCACAGAGTGGTGAACCCCTCCTCGTCTTTACTTCTGAAAGGCTCAGCCTCTCTGAGATGCTCTTTTTATACCCAATCACGTTACTGACCTGTTGTCAATCAACAATCAAGTGTTTTGTTAGCATTACCCAACTTTACCAGCCTTTTGTTGACTCTGTCCCAACTTTTTTGGAACGTGTTGTTGGCATCAAATTCAAAATGGGCAAATATTTTTCAATAAACAATAAACTTTCTCAGTTTCAACATTTGATATGTTGTCTTTGTACTATTTTAAATGAAATATAGGTTTTAAATGATACATTTTCTTTTTTATTTACATTTTGCACAGCGTCCCAACTTTTTTGGAAATGGGTTTGTTTGTGAAATCAAATTAAAACCAGAGAGTAGTCACTTTCTGAAAAACACTTTTATGTTTCACTTCACCTTTTATCTGTATGTAAACAAGAGCAGTGCAAAGACCAGATATTTAATGCTTTTCTTCATCAGCTTCATTATTTTTTGGAAACATATGCACATTCTTATACTGATGCTTTCAATATTTTCCAAAAAAGTCAGGACAGAGGCAATTTAAGACTAAGAACACTGTAAAATGTAAAAAAAAAACCATCTCAAACAGGTATAAAAGGAGCAGGAAAGGCCTAGTCCTTTATGAGCAAGGATGGGTCGAAGCTCGCCACTCTGACAAAAATGCACTTAACCTGCTTAATTAAGTAAGAAGACTAAGGTTAAGAACACTGGGCCTCATTCACCAACCATTGTTAAAAAGAAATTTCCTCTTAAAACCCACTTTACACAGTTTTCACAAAGATTCTGACATTCACCAACTGAAGAACAAATTTAAGAAAAGCTTTAAGAAGATATTAGTGAATGGGGCCCAATACTCTTTAATGAGTGTTCTCAAGAATTCCAGGTATTTTATGGTCAACGGTGCAAAAAATGATCAAAAGATCCAGGAAATCTAGAAAGCCCAGGACAGTTGCTTCGATCAATTGTTGTCTTCGGTATACAGACAATAACTAAGTTTTGTTAAAAGGAAAGGTGATCGAACAAAGCAGTGTTTCATGCTCCTGTCCTAACTTGTTTGGAACGTGTCGCAGGCATCAAATTTGTAATTGCAATACTTGTAATGAGAGTAAAAAGCTAAACTCTTAAGGTAAAACATTAACTATTATGTTTATGTGCTGTTTTCAGTTTAACACAGACCAGAGTGAATCGACTAATCACAGCTTTGTGTTTTATTAGCATTTCACATACTTTTCGTGGTTTGTATTTCAGGATTCTGCTCTGGACAAAGGACAGAGTAGTGTGTGCTGGAGTAGTGTGTGCTGGAGTAGTGTGTGCTGGAGTAGTGTGTGCGTCTGAATGTGTCATGATAGTTAATTGAAGTCTTACGCTTGTCGTGCATGCTCAATTGGGTCAAGGTTCTCCAAGTAGTTGAAGCGTATTGTGTCCGTGGGGTGCCTGTCTGAGTCCCTCCATGGAGGAAGTCCTTTTGTCACTGAGCCACACCCACTTAAACTCCGCCCACGCTGACTGGGCCCCTGATTTCGGCAGCCGGTCTCCTCTGACAACTCGCCCATCTCACTGCCGATCACCCTCACCTCAGGAACTATGAACTCTTCCTTCGCAGGTGTCTGGAAAACGTAGGAAGGATCAGGCATGGCAGATACTGCAGTAATATTTTGATACCGGATCACTACAATCATCACGGACAAGAGGAGCATGTTCAGTGGCAGTTTGCTGTCATAGAGCTGCTCAGCCGACAGACTCAGGAGATCCTTTGTCCCTTAGAGCCATTAGGCTCTTCAACTCTTCCCAGTGGGGCCAGAAGAGAAGAGGGAAGAGGATAGATGAGGACTGAATCTCTCATTCTAAATTACAGGTTTATTTTATCTACCTGCACATATGGACACCTTACTGTACATCTATTGCACTTTCTGCATACCTTATCGCACATCTTGCACATCTGGACACTCCACACCTAGACATATTTATTCAGTATTGTCATTATTTGCTGTTACCTCTGCCTCCTTGTACAGTCATTATTGCACTGCCTTTTTTATCTCAGGTTATAGATCCTATTGCATATTTTTGTATATTTCTAGTTGTAAATATGCCTGTAGATAGGTTTTTTGTATTTATTATTCTTTTAATATTGTATCACCCTTATTATTATAACTGTTCTGTGTTGTGTGACTGCTACTGGCTGCTAAATTTCCTACAGTATCAATAAAGTATTTATCTATCTGTCTATCTATCATCTATCTATATATCTATATATCTATCTATATATCTATCTATCTAACTTATTAGCATCATTCAAACTGCATATCTAAGTCACCACACACCATGTTGACTGGACCTGGCAACGTATTTCTGTATATTCTACTGTTATCTATAAAAATAGACAACCATCTTTAAGCCTTCTGAGGTCAGTCTTGAACGTTTTTTGTATTACCTCAAGTATAATCTACTTATAGCTGTCACTCACCCATTGTTCTTCCTCACTTAGTGTGCTGGAAATGACTTACGTACAGTGTTATCCTAGGTTAATCAACTCTCTTTGCAATTAAATGCTAAGACTGCTATCCTAAAGATTAATTCATACCTTACAAGCGGTGACCTTACTCACCTTGGGTCTGCTTACGTGAAGCCCCTGCACTGTCTCAACATAGTGCCTCTTCCACACACCTTGCTCAAATGGCGTAGGAGCGAAGGTTATACACCAACCAAGTCTCAGACATTTTGGCATCCACAGCTGGTCCAGCTCTACCAAGCTCTTCCAGTGCCAGCTAACCTGCCAGGGGTTCATAACAGAGAACGTCACATGAGTATTAAGAGTGTGTTAAAGCACATGGTGGTATGTGGGCACACACAAAAACATTTAAACATACCAATTAAATGTATTGAAAGTGAAAAAGTGAAAAAAAAAAACATTAAACATCTGCATGTTTAGTTTTGCACTGGAGCTAATGTAGCTAACAAGTAGTACAAGATTATATCTTATACAAATGCCATATTTGCTTATATTTTTGTATATTTCTAGTTGTATATATGCCTAGAGATGATAGGTATAGTAAATAGTGGATAGGTTTTTTTGTATATATTCTTCTTTTTATATTGTATCACCCTTATTGTTATAAGTATAGTGTAGTGGGTAACTCCTCTGCCTTGTACACTGTAGACTGGGGTTCAATCCCTACCTGGGTAAGCACCATACGCTATACCAATAGGAGTCCTTGGGCAAGACTCCTAACACTACCTTCGCCTACCTGTGTAAAGTGATCAAAATTGTAAGTTGCTCTGGATAACAGCGTCAGACAAATGCCATAAATGTCAGTGTCCTGTGTTGTGTGACCGCTACTGGCTGCTAAAGTTCCTTCGGGATCAATAAAGTATCTATCTATCTATCATATCATCACACAATAGATTTGCTTGTGTGATTCCTGACAATAATAACATTCTGTTATCTATACAAATGGCCGGTGAGTAGCTAAAACACAGCAGTAGCAGACATCTTGAAGCATCAATTTTCTTTGCACTTTTCTCCATTTTTATAGATGACAATTCATTATCACTTTAATAGTTTTTTTCCACATATAGTTCTTTTTAAGTAACTTTAACTTAGTTGTGTTAAAGTGAACCTGAAAGGGAATTTGCTGCAAATGACCTCAGTGCTTTTTGGGTTCACAATGTAAGCGAACTTTAAAGCAGACACGATTCTCTTTCTGGTCCTCTTTAGCACAGATGAGATCTCAGACCACTTGTTGTTCAAATCTCAAGTCCTTTAAAATGACCCCAGCTGTATATGAAGATGAATTATGGGTAGTATGGTTCAAGTTCATCATATAACAGATGTGATTTGCTGAGCCTCTTTCAAACCCATGGTAAAATACTCCAACAGCACAAAGCTTTTAAAATCTAGTTAAGTTCCCCCAAAAAAGCATTAAATATAATACAGTACTTGAAAGCTGGGTGCTAAACACTTGGCCATCATTATTTACCTGTGCACATCTACAAAGGCTCCTGGGGTCCAGGTATGAGAAGATGTATAGAGATATGATGCGGGGGAGAACATTAGTGAAGTCCAGAGCTTCCTCAGGCACCTGACTGCACAGAGTCTGCCTGAGATACTTCAGCTGGCCCGCGGTGCATCGGGAAAAGAAGTCTTGCAGCACCTGCTTCCTTTGGCTATCGGTCCACTTATCAAACTGAGAAACAGATATAAGACACAGGAGATATGAGTGATGTATCTGTACGTAACAAAAAAAACAGTTTAGTCATGATGAAGGGTTCAGCCAGGGGGCAGCCCAGTGAGTGTATGTACTCCAAATAATTGAATCGCCAAGTTAATTTAATACATCTATTCATTAAAATGCTTTTCTCACCCACTTCCCAAGCAGATTTCTTCTTTCTTCAAAAACCTGCAGGATTAATTGCACACAGAGCATAACCTATGTCAGTACTACTTTTGACAAATTGACAAAGATAAGGCACAAGTTTTGAATGTAATCACATTATTGTAGGACAATATGACAATATTTATTGTTATACATCACGTTATGTCACAATATGCTTTTTTTGAGCATATCATAGATATCGCTGGTACTTAACCCTTGTGTGGTGTTGATGTGTGTGTTACTCAGTGGTCTGGTGGACCCACCACATTATTGTTTTTTTAAATCAATACAGCCATAACAATTTATGTAAAAATACCAGATGTTTAAAATATCCAGCGTAGGGTTACGCTGGCAACGCCTGTAGCCAGTCAGCAGCCTGTCCATGTTGTCCACCCTCACTCACACACACACATACACACACATATACAAACACATATACACACAGACAAACACAAACTAACAGCAGGCCATGCAGGAGGAGAACAGAGTGAAGGACACAGCACCTCCACACTTTTATTCCCCGCGGGTTCACCCAACACCACATGTGTAATATAAATGTGTGGGGGGTGAACAGTGTGAAGACACTGAAAATGAGTTATTTTATATGTTCTTCACAGCAAATGAGCAAAGGCCAAGAATCTGAGGTTGAAATAATAATAAATTACATCATTTTCTCTTTTGGTAAACATTGAAAATGCGTCCCACAGACCTGAACACCACACAAGGGTTAAAGAACACTAGATAACTGCATGTTTCATTACAAAGAGAGCATAATTAGTCCTATTTGGTTGGATTTAGTGCAGCACAGGATGTGAACGTCATTATAATCATAGCATTTTTAAATGTGGCACTACTGGTTCTTTTTTTCTGATCCAACTTAAAAACGATATATCATGATGTATATTGTATATTTAGAAAACATCTTAGAGTATCATGATGTTATATTTTTGCTACATCCACCACCCGTATGTTGTTACTGACAATAGAGAGTTCCAAACTGAAGAAGATCTCAATAAAAACTACCCTTTTAGATATGATATAAGAAAGGCTGAATAAATGGTCAGCGGCACGTACATGGTTGTTGATCAGGTTGTGGTTCAGTGGTGTCCAGGCACTCCGCTTGGTTTGCATCTTAGTGCTGGGTGTCTCTCTAAGGGCGAGGGGCATCTTCTAACCACTTACACAGCCTCCCACCACCTATACCTATAAAATTAAACAGTGATGTCAAGCGTTACAAAAATATATTTGCAAAAATAAGTGCACACGTTTGGAATGCCTTACCACGTTATCTGGATCTCATAAATGCTCTGATAAATAGCAAAATCTCCAGTGCAGAATGGTATAATAGTCCTCTTGCACCATGTAAACTTAAATTAGTTGACTTAAAAAAATCATGCAAACTTATTGTCTTGAAAAAATTAAGTACAGTTACTTCAAGCTTAAATAACCTTTTATATGAATGATAGTTACTTTATAAGTTTTAGTGATCCACACGTCTGAAGCAAGAAAAGTTAACTCAAACAGCCCAGTCATTATAAATGGTTTCATTTAGCTGGCAATATTCTACTTTGTCAAGTTCTGCTTTTTCTTGAATTGGTTAGGTTAACCTTTGTGTGGTGTTCAGGTCTGTGGGTCCCATTTTCAATGTTCACCAAAAGAAAAAATGATATGATTTATTATTATTTCAACCTCAGATTTCTTGGCCTTTGCTCATTTTCTGTGAAGAACATATAAAATAACCCATTTTCAGTGTCTTCACTCTGTTCACCCCCCACACATTTATATTACACATGTGGTGTTGGGGTGAACATGCACCAGTGTGGAGGTGCTGTGTCCTTCACTCTGTTCTCCTCCTGCATGGCCTGCTGTTAGTTTGTGTGTGTGTCTCTGTGTGTGTGTGTTTGTATGTGTGTGCGTGTTTATGAGGGTGGACAACATGGACAGGCTGCTGACTGGCTACAGCTGCTAAAGGAGAACACTACACTGGACACTCGTGATATTTCTAATATTATTACATAAATTGTTACGGCTGTGTTGATTTAAAAAAAAACAATAATGCGGTGGGTCCACCAGACCACTGAGTAACAAACACATCAACACCACACAAGGGTTAACTTGAATCAAACACTCTTCCTTGTATAATGTATTGACATCAATTCTAACAACTCCATTATATTAGGTGAACTGGATCGTACACTTACGAGTAAATGGCTTATTTAAGACTAAAAATCATCCATTTCTAAAGACTCTAATGTCTTAATACCTGTACCGTTCTGTTAGCATTCATGGTGATAGGCTGAGCTGAACACAACACAAAACACCATCATGGTGAGAATATCATGCATCCAAACTTCACGTTTAGCATAAGAATATGCTATGACACAAAAATATCAAAGGAAATAATATTTATAAATAGAAAAAATATTTAATAGTTAATTAACAGAAATTGACAAAACCACTAACCACTTTTGGCCAAAAGACTCTTCAGTATGTGTGACTAATCCAAACTAACTGGTCTTAACTAGATTTACCTCAGTAAAGAAAATAGTATGTTACTAGATTTGCATTAGTAATATTAACAAATAAGTAAGTAAACAAAAAAAAAATGCAGATATTATGTTTTACAGACAAATGAACGCTGTAATTCACCACAGTAAGCTAACTCAGTACTATATGAGCAGCAGTTCATTGCTGTATTCAGCTCACTCAGCACAGGGGATTTCACTGTTTACACTCACCGGATTCAGAGAGGTGGTGCAGACATATTCAGCGATGTATCACAAGCCTAGTTTACTGGAGAAAACGAGAAGACTGGGCAGAAAACATACCATCTGTACTAATAAATTCGAGGCAGCCCTAATCATGATAAACATTAATCATAGTACTCAGACTCGGTCTTATCGAGGTCTTGCTGTCCTTGCCTGTCTTCTGTACTCAGTTGACGAGTTCCCATAGCGATGACACCCTTCGCCCCGCCTCCTCAAACTCTCACAGCCAATAAACGCGCTCCGAGCAGCAGACTGGCCAATAAGCAGTCAGCCCCACGTCCTCAAGGCTCATTTCACCCAAAGCAAACTCCTGCCTTTTCTTTTACTACAGCAGCATAAAGATCAGTTACTCACTGAATGTGGTTTAGAGCCCTTTTTAGAGTAAATCAGCTTAAACCTGTCCTCAAGGATAATTAAGGACTTGAAATAAGAGCTTGAGGTGAAGTAAAAGCAGGACTAGCTATCAAAACCAACGAGACTAGAAGTCAAATCAGATCCAAATACTCCTCAAGTGGCGCTATTTTCCCTTTTTGTGATTTTTTTATACCTGAAATAAAAGACTACAGCTCCGTGAGTAACAGCAAAGCAGGTCAATCAAAGAGCAAAATTTAAAACACAAACAAAACAATTAGGATCCAAAAGTGAATGACTAAAAAGTGAATTCCTTTTCTCAGAAACACAAGCATAAGCAAAGTACTGTAATAAACACTAAACCGTCCAACAAAGTAATCTTAACCGTACTTAAAGGGGAACTCCACCGATTTTTCAAAAAAATCTACGTAATTGAATTGGTTGAGATGTAAACTGAGTCATTCAGAGTGGTTTGGTATAAACCTCTCCGTTCTAGAGAAACTTACTGAGTCCGAATTGTTTACAGTGGTGGTGATAGGAACCAGACGTCCACCTCTAAAAGCTCAAATAGTTATTACACTAAAGGATTATGAATACGCTGCCTAAGACATTGTTTTATGACAGTTTTGTGATAAAGTTGTGGCTTAAAATGTATTTTAATCCATTCAAGCCGGAAGAGTACATGCAGGATGTTGTTAGGCAAAATAGTCCCCAAAAGAAAACGTATTTTTTCAGCTCAGAAGACTCGTGTAGGTTCACTGGTGGTTTTGCGCAGGAAATAAAATGGCTACCTTTGTGTTGTAGACATCGGGACCCCCGGTTCCTATCAGCACCACTGTGGAGAAATCTGAGTCTGTAAGTTTGTCTACAAGGAACAATTTGACGTCAAACCACTCGAAATGACTTTGTTTACATCTCAATGACTGAATTATTCGGAAATTTTGAGAGATTGGTGGAATTCCCCTTTAAGTACATGAAGGTAAGTTTAGTGTTGGTGGTCACTTCCCAGCTCAGTTTTACTGTGGGGTGATTGATATGAGCGCTGTTGGCTGGGCGCGTTCTCGCGGGGTGTGCGCGCGCCCGGGGGAATCCTTACAAACCTGTGAGAGAGAGAGAGAGGGAGAGAGAGAGAGAGAGAGAGAGAGAGGTCGCTCATTGTTAGCGCCGCCAAGGAGGAGCAGCTCAGAGTCCCACACGTGAACCAACCGGAGTACAAAGGTAAGGTTCGCCTTTCATTGTTTTTCCTCTCTGGAGGAACAATAAACACAGAGAAGAGTAGAAGCTGAACGTTGGAGGGAGACGAGCACCTTTCTCAGGTCCTCACAGCGGAGCGGAACGGTCGGTCGGTCGGTTGGCCACCTCAGTGGACCCGCTTCTCTCTCCGATACCAGCAGACTGTCATCTTTTGTTCGCGGACGGAGCTCGACGGAGGAGTCCGTCTGTTTCTCCCGGAGCGGCGAAGTTGGTCGGCTGTGAGGTGAGGACCGCTGTCACGGACAGAGGCTCCGGTTTTCCGCGGTGTGGTCGAGCCCCGCTTAAGTACAGCGCGGCGCTCGGCTCGCGCACTCGAGGCCGGGGAGGCTGGAGGGAGCTGTGATGCTAAAGGCAGCTCAGTTCACCTTCGAGAACAGACCACAGCGTTTCTCACCACCGATAGTGAGAAAAAGAGCGCGATATTGAGTCTGTATAGGCGAGTTTTATGAGAATATACTTCATTATTACAGAAACCTGCCTCGTACACACGGTGTCGGCCACTTTAAAGGAAACTCAGATAGCTCTACAACTTTAAGTTCTCCTCAGAGATCGTGAGAAATACTGCTTTTTTAATTATTCATTTATTTTTATTTTTATCTTACATTTTGTAGTCAATTTTGTTTAAAATTTGAAGCTGAATTTCAAGTTTCTGCGTATTTAACTGTTATATTTATCCTAGTTTACACCCTAACTGACACCCAGTGAATGAAGAAAGGTTAAACGTCGTTCACAAAGGCACATGATGAGGCAGTTTGGCCTGCATTTTGCTCTTAAAGTCTGTGTTATTTGATTGTCACAGATATTTGATTTTAATGCCACTGGTATTCTGTCACAATACAATATTAATTACATCTCTCACAATGCAGTAGCTTTCATAAAGGTTATTTTACAGTTCAGTCTGACCACTGATGGCTTTAACTGCTTAAACCTGATGGCTGACAGCTGAAATATGACCATATGAGTTTTTTTCACTATGAGTTCCTTATCCAGTTAGATGGTAATTTTGTAGTGCCTTCATAGTCATCATTTAGGCCTCTCTTTCTTCCTCAGACGCGATGACGCTGTGAAAACCAGTCAAGAAGGTGTAAAAAAGCCATGCAGGTCAACCAAAGATCCACCTTTGTTAGATAACGGAGATCCATTGAGAAGACCTGCCAGTTCCGCCACTGCAAAGCAACAATGGAGACAACCTACCCCACCCATGTCACCTCTGGAATCAATGAGGAGACGGAGGCTTTCTGGCTTTCCTAACACCCACCAAATCCTCACAGACGTACGGCTTAGAGCGGGACCTGACCGGTCTTGCCAAGCTCAGAGCTGAATTTCAGACAATGGGTCTCGTTTGGATTGTCACGTCCATGCTGACGGCATGCGCAGCCATCAACATAGGGTCAACAGGCAGTCACAGCACGTTCACCTGTGAGCCCATCACGCTGCGGATGTGCCAGGGTCTCTCCTACAACACCACCTTTATGCCCAACTTGCTCAACCACTACGACCAGCAGACTGCAGCCCTCGCCATGGAGGTAAAATATCCTAGTTTCTGAAAAACATGCATTGTGTTTGATTAAAATATGTGATACATGGGTGAGTTTATGTCCACGCTGCAGGGGCTGCATTCAAACATCAAAGTGTAGATCACACTAGGGCTGAACGATTTTGGGAAAATATCGATTGCGATTTTTCCGTCTAGTATTGCGACTGAAATTTAAATTGCGTTTTTTTTTAATATAAATTGAAATTATGAGTCTTATTTCGGCCAAGAAGACCAGAATATCCACCTTTCTTGGCTTGAGGCTCGACCCCTGAACGCAGCGTGCCCAACTGCCAGTGAGTTGTGGTTGTGATGTCACAACACACAGAGGTTTGATTTCCTCTGATTGGTCTAACTCATCTACAGGCATTTCATGAGGCTCAATTTCCCCTCTTAAAACCCAAAACAGCATTTTTGCTAATGTACACACTTAAAAAAGATTGTTCTTCAGTGTTCTTTAATAAAGATATATATCTGTGTAATACACTCAATGACAAATTTGCATACTTAAAAGTTCTTTGCATGGTGAAATGGTTCTTCAGATTGATGGAGAACGTGTTATATATGGTATATAGCACCTTTTTGGAAAGGGTTTGATATAGCACCAAAATGTTCTTCTGTTGTTACAAACTTGACATTGTAACAACCGCAGAACCCTTTTTGGTGCTGTATAGAACCATATACAGCACAATTTCCATCAGTCTGAAGAATCTTTGAGTGTTCTATATAGAACCACTGTCATTACTAAAGAACCATCTTACTTAAGGCCTGTGAAGAACTATTTTTTTAAGAGTGTAGGCTATAATAAAAAAATTGCACTTAAATTGCGATTTCGATATAAAACGATCAATCTTTCAACCCTAGATCAGACAGAAATCATATGTTGACCATTTGTATACTTCTAAACATAACTTGAAAAGCAGAATTGGTGTGCCGTGACTGCCGTGACTGCCGTGATTTTTAGCTAACCTTATTTGTTAGGCACACATCTAGCTTTATGAAGCATACAGAATTCAGTATAACTCACGTTAACTTTTTTGATCAAACAAAATTATTTTAAAAAATGCCTTTACAAATGTTTAACACACATTGTTTTATCACTTATCTTTTTCCTTTATCGTCTCCTCCTTGGAAAAAAGACGGTAGAAAACATTATGCTGCTGTCAGAAGACAACCATGCACCATTTTTGTCGTTTTTCAGTTTTTGACATAATTTGAAAATGCCTGTTGTCCTTTACATTGTTTGTAAATTTCATGATAAATGGAGCAAAAGAAACGGGTCAAAACGATGTGGAAAAAGTCTGGTTCCATTGACTTACATTAAAAGATAAGTAGGTTTTTTCCTTTTACTGTAAAGTTCTCATTTTTGAGATACAAGGTTTTCTTCCGACAACAGCGATTATGTACATTACTTGTACAAATATTTAAACACAACACCACTATACACAACACAACACTATGTTATATATGTAATTAATTGTATACATAACACCTAACATAAAAGACAAACCTGGCAGACTTAGAGATTATATTATTTATACTCTTATTTGTGCAGTGATCAGTTCGTTTTGTCTTTTTGCTTTCTTTTCACTAACTTAGATCACAATATAAAAAATATTAAAGAGGAAATTAAGCTTTAATCTGTCTTTTTGGGACTATTAGCTAAGTCATAATTTCTTGGCTGATGTATCGTGCTGCACTGAACAGATTTGGCTGCTATGGTTTCTTTTCTATTCACTTACTGTTAACGGTGCAGTACTTTATGTGCAGGTCTTGCTGATGGTTAATGGAGTTTGTGCACTCTGTTTACCTTGAATGCACTATAATCTCAGTATCTGCGGTCATAATGGCTGGATTGATGCCGGCAGCTGGTTAATCTTCTCTGCTGGACGGCTCTATACGGTTGATTCAGACGGAAAGCTCCTACATTAGCTTGTTAGCATGAACACTGTAGCTCTGCTGATGGCCTACAGCTCCTGCAAATCCTGCTTTTCTGGTTCTTATTGAGTCCGGCCTTCGTAGATAAAAGTCGGAATCAGAGACCGAGAGGGATGAGAAAAGAGGGGGAGAGGGAATGAAAGGATGGAGATGAGCCCGGAACGCCCATCTGCTCAGCCTCCTGTTTATCTGTGTAGAAAGCCAGCGTTACATAACCCCATGGACTGTAGCAGCCACA